AGCACCAGTGGTCACACCAGGAGTTGTTGTTACTTCAGATACTGTGGTCTGAATAACTGTACTTGTAGCTTCAGCTGTGGTTGTGGCACTACCAGTTGTGCTTTCCACAGCTGACGTTAAATCAGCAGTTGTGGTCTCTGCAACAGGGGTGGCCACAGAACTTGAAGTCACTCCTGCAGTAGTGATTATCTCAGCAGTAGTTGTTTGGGCTGCTGAAGTGATTTCAACAGTAGTTGGCTCTGCAGCAGTGGTCTCAGCACCAGTGGTCACACCAAGAGTTGTTGTTACTTCAGATACTGTGGTCTGAATAACTGTACTTGTAGCTTCAGCTGTGGTTGTGGCACTACCAGTTGTGCTTTCCACAGCTGACGTCAAATCAGCAGTTGTGGTCTCTGCAACAGGGGTGGCCACAGAACTTGAAGTAACTCCTGCAGTAGTAATTATCTCAGCAGTAGTTGTTTGGGCTGCTGAAGTGATTTCAACAGTAGTTGGCTCTGCAGCAGTGGTCTCAGCACCAGTGGTCACACCAGAAGTTGTAGTTACTTCAGATATTGTGGCCTGAGTAACTGTACTTGTAGCTTCAGTTGTGGTTGTGGCTCTACCAGTTGTGCTTTCCACAGCTGACGTCACATCAGCAGTTGTTGTGTCTGCAACAGGGGTGGCCACAGAAATTGAAGTCACTCCTGCAGTAGTGATTATCTCAGCAGTAGTTGTTTGGGCTGCTGAAGTGAATTGATTAGTAGTTAGCTCTGCAGCAGTTGTCTCAGCACCAGTGGTCACACCAGGCGTTGTTGTTACTTCAGCTACAGTGGTCTGAATAACTGTACTTGTAGCTTCAGCTATGGTTGTGGCACTACCAGTTGTGCTTTCCACAGCTGATGTCACATCAGCAGTTGTTATGTCTGCAACAGGGGTGGCCACAGAACTTGAAGTCAGTCCTGCAGTAGTGATTATCTCAGCAGTAGTTGTTTGGGCTGCTGAAGTGATTTCAACAGTAGTTGGCACTGCAGCAGTGGTCTCAGCACCAGTGGTCACACCAGGAGTTGTAGTTACTTCAGATACTGTGGTCTGAACAACTGTTCTTGTAGCTTCAGCTGTGGTTGTGACACTACCAGTTGTGCTTTCCACAGCTGATGTCACATCAGCAGTTGTTGTGTCTGCAGCAGGGGTGGACACAGACTTTGTGGTCACTCCTGCAGTAGTGATTATCTCAGCAGTAGTTGTTTGGGCTGCTGAAGTGATTTCAACAGTAGTTGGCTCTGCAGCAGTGGTCTGAGCATCAGTGGTCACACCAGAAGTTGTAGTTATTTCAGATTTTGTGGTCTGAATAACTGTACTTGTAGCTTCAGCTGTGGTTGTGGCACTACCAGTTGTGCTTTCGACAGCTAATGTCACATCAGCAGTTGTTAAGTCTGCAACAGGGGTGGACACAGAACTTGAAGTCACTCCTGCAGTAGTGATTATCTCAGCAGAAGTTGTTTGGGCTGCTGAAGTGATTTCAACAGTAGTTGGCACTGCAGCAGTGGTCTCAGCACCAGTGGTCACACCAGGAGTTGTAGTTACTTCAGATACTGTGGTCTGAACAACTGTACTTGTAGCTTCAGCTGTGGTTGTGGCACTACCAGTTGTGCTTTCCACAGCTGATGTCACATCAGCAGTTGTTGTGTCTGCAGCAGGGGTGGACTCAGACTCTGTGGTCACTCCTGCAGTAGTGATTATCTCAGCAGTAGTTGTTTGGGCTGCTGAAGTGATTTCAACAGTAGATGGCTCTGCAGCAGTGGTCCCAGCACCAGTGGTCACACCAGGAGTTGTAGTTACTTCAGATACTGTGGTCTGACCAACTGTACTTGTAGCTTCAATTGTGGTTGTGGCACTACCAGTTCTGCTTTCCACAGCTGATGTCACATCAGCAGTTGTTGTGTCTGCAGCAGGGGTGGCCACAGACTCTGTAGTCAATCCTGCAGTAGTGATTATCTCAGCAGAAGTTGTTTGGGCTGCTGAAGTGATTTCAACAGTAGTTGGCTCTGCAGCAGTGGTCTGAGCATCAGTGGTCACACCAGAAGTTGTAGTTATTTCAGATATTGTGGTCTGAATAACTGTACTTGTAGCTTCAGCTGTGGTTGTGGCTCTACCAGTTCTGCTTTCCACAGCTGACGTCACATCAGCAGCTGTTGTGCCTGCAACAGGGGTGGCCACAGAACTTGAAGTCACTCCTGCAGTAGTGATTATCTCAGCAGTAGTTGTTTGGGCTGCTGAAGTGATTTCAACAGTAGTTGGCACTGCAGCAGTGGTCTCAGCACCAGTGGTCACACCAGGAGTTGTAGTTACTTCAGATACTGTGGTCTGAACAACTGTACTTGTAGCTTCAGCTGTGGTTGTGGCACTACCAGTTGTGCTTTCCACAGCTGATGTCACATCAGCAGTTGTGTCTGCAGCAGGGGTGGACACAGACTCTGTGGTCACTCCTGCAGTAGTGATTATCTCAGCAGTAGTTGTTTGGGCTGCTGAAGTGATTTCAACAGTAGTTGGCTCTGCAGCAGTGGTCTGAGCATCAGTGGTCACACCAGAAGTTGGAGTTATTTCAGATTTTGTGGTCTGAATAACTGTACTTGTAGCTTCAGCTGTGGTTGTGGCTCTACCAGTTGTGCTTTCCACAGCTGACGTCACATCAGCAGTTGTGTCTGCAACAGGTGTGGCCACAGAACTTGAAGTCACTCCTGCAGTAGTGATTATCTCAGCAGTAGTTGTTTGGGCTGCTGAAGTGAATTCAACAGTAGTTGGCTCTGCAGCAGTGGTCTCAGCACCAGTGGTCACACTAGAAGTTGTAGTTATTTCAGATTTTGTGGTCTGAATAACTGTACTTGTAGCTTCAGCTGTGGTTGTGGCTCTACCAGTTGTGCTTTCCACAGCTGATGTCACATCAGCAGTTGTTGTGTCTGCAACAGGCGTGGACACAGACTCTGTAGTCACTCCTGCAGTAGTGATTATCTCAGCAGTAGTTGTTTGGGCTGCTGAAGTGATTTCAACAGTAGTTGGCTCTGCAGCAGTGGTCTCAGCACCAGTGGTCACACCAGGAGTTGTTGTTACTTCAGATACTGTGGTCTGAATAACTGTACTTGTAGCTTCAGCTATGGTTGTGGCACTACCAGTTGTGCTTTCCACAGCTGACGTCACATCAGCAGTTGTGGTCTCTGCAACAGGGGTGGCCACAGAACTTGAAATCACTCCTGCAGTAGTGATTATCTCAGCAGTAGTTGTTTGGGCTGCTGAAGTGATTTCAACAGTAGTTGGCTCTGCAGCAGTGGTCTCAGCACCAGTGGTCACACCAGGAGTTGTAGTTACTTCAGATACTGTGGTCTGAACAACTGTACTTGTAGCTTCAGCTGTGGTTGTGGCACTACCAGTTGTGCTTTCCACAGCTGATGTCACATCAGCAGTTGTTATGTCTGCAACAGGGGTGGCCACAGAACTTGATGTCAGTCCTGCAGTAGTGATTATCTCAGCAGTAGTTGTTTGGGCTGCTGAAGTGATTTCAACAGTAGTTGGCACTGCAGCAGTGGTCTCAGCACCAGTGGTCACACCAGGAGTTGTAGTTACTTCAGATACTGTGGTCTGAACAACTGTACTTGTAGCTTCAGCTGTGGTTGTGGCACTACCAGTTGTGCTTTCCACAGCCGATGTCACATCAGCAGTTGTTGTGTCTGCAGCAGGGGTGGACACAGACTCTGTGGTCACTCCTGCAGTAGTGATTATCTTAGCAGTAGTTGTTTGGCCTGCTGAAGTGATTTCAACAGTAGTTGGCTCTGCAGCAGTGGTCTGAGCATCAGTGGTCACACCAGAAGTTGTAGTTATTTCAGATTTTGTGGTCTGAATAACTGTACTTGTAGCTTCAGCTGTGGTTGTGGCTCTACCAGTTGTGCTTTCCACAGCTGACGTCACATCAGCAGTTGTTGTGTCTGCAACAGGGGTGGCCACAGAACTTGAAGTCACTCCTGCAGTAGTGATTATCTCAGCAGTAGTTGTTTGGGCTGATGAAGTGAATTCAACAGTAGTTGGCTCTGCAGCAGTGGTCTCAGCACCAGTGGTCACACCAGGAGTTGTAGTTACTTCAGCTACTGTGGTCTGAATAACTGTACTTGTAGCTTCAGCTGTGGTTGTGGCTCTACCAGTTGTGCTTTCTACAGCTGATGTCACATCAGCAGTTGTTGTGTCTGCAACAGGCGTGGACACAGACTCTGTAGTCACTCCTGCAGTAGTGATTATCTCAGCAGTAGTTGTTTGGGCTGCTGAAGTGATTTCAACAGTAGTTGGCTCTGCAGCAGTGGTCTCAGCACCAGTGGTCACACCAGGAGTTGTTGTTACTTCAGATACTGTGGTTTGAATAACTGTACTTGTAGCTTCAGCTGTGGTTGTGGCACTACCAGTTGTGCTTTCCACAGCTGACGTCAAATCAGCAGTTGTGGTCTCTGCAACAGGGGTGGCCACAGAACTTGAAGTCACTCCTGCAGTAGTGATTATCTCAGCAGTAGTTGTTTGGGCTGCTGAAGTGATTTCAACAGTAGTTGGCTCTGCAGCAGTGGTCTCAGCACCAGTGGTCACACCAGAAGTTGTAGTTACTTCAGATATTGTGGCCTGAGTAACTGTACTTGTAGCTTCAGTTGTGGTTGTGGCTCTACCAGTTGTGCTTTCCACAGCTGACGTCACATCAGCAGTTGTTGTGTCTGCAACAGGGGTGGCCACAGAACTTGAAGTCACTCCTGCAGTAGTGATTATCTCAGCAGTAGTTGTTTGGGCTGCTGAAGTGAATTGATTAGTAGTTGGTTCTGCAGCAGTGGTCTCAGCACCAGTGGTCACACCAGGAGTTGTAGTTACTTCAGCTACTGTGGTCTGAATAACTGTACTTGTAGCTTCAGCTGTGGTTGTGGCTCTACCAGTTCTGCTTCCTACAGCTGACGTCACATCAGCAGTTGTTGTGTCTGCAACAGGGGTGGCCACAGAACTTGAAGTGGTGCTTTTCATAGCTGTGGTGACATCAGCAATTGTTGTCTCAGAAACAGTAGCGATTTTCAAAGAGGCTGAGGAGGTGTCTGCAGTAGGAAATAAACACAAAAGACAAAAATCTTCCTTCAATCATAAAATATCACAGCAAATGTAACAAAATGTAACACGTTGGTAAATATTTGTTTTTGGAGTTTGTTCTTGCCGAAAGTGTTTGCCTCTCGTTCGATATTTTAGGGTGCTTTTCAATAAATTTGAAATAAAAATTGGGCACATCTGGTAGTCCTATATGGAAACATTGTTTCATTACAATGTTCTGCTCTTTGAACATTCGTCTCAATTTGGTTGGAATACATCGTATTATAGTATACCCTTTTTTGAATTAGTATATTTACCACTGTAGTCTGCCCCATTGTTTATGGGGATATTTTCATAAAGAATGTTACAACCCGACGCTGCTTTTTTCTTCATAGTTCCATAAATGATGACATGAATCTGACTGAGAAGCATTCCAATTTTGTTAGGAAATACTTAGAAAATGTTCTTGACTTTGTACACAACCGCTGAAGTAGCATCAGGGTTGTCAAGCAAGTGTCAACGGTTGTCTAGGGTTGTCAAGCGTCAAGTTTGTCAAGCAAGTGTCAAGCTTTTAAAACTATTTTCTCTAACATGACTAAGCTGCATTTCACAAAAGAAGGCACCTTAGTAATATTTATTGTTTATATAGGTTTTCCCTGCCAAGTTAGCAGATTTGGCGGCCAAATTGGTGACCAATCACTCATTTTCGCACGAATTTGAATGCACGTTGAGATCAACATTCAATTAGCTAAAAACACTAATCAATTTAACATTTGAAGCATACGATTTCACATTTTAATCATGCAATTTTAACAACAGGGCATTCAAATTACAATTGCACAAACGAGCATCCAAATTCGCCGGAGCTTCCAGCTGTGTAAGTTTGGTCATTCAAATTCACCATTAAGCACGCATTTGTGAAAAGTAAGCAAATGAATTCGAAATAGGTTTATGTCATTCCATTGTTTGTTAGAATTAGATGGAGTGCCTTTGTTCCGATTTGGAAGTATGGATATAAAACCCCGTCTCCAACAAGATTCTGCCAATACTCTGATCACCAAGCACAACTTAGCTTGAAGCACTAGAAATATTAACATGGCAGCTCATGGGCGTTACATGAGAATTTCAAATGTAGATGCACGGCAAGAGATCGATGGCTAACAGACCTGCAGGAGACAGTATCCTCATCATTCTAAAATTAGGAGAGACAAAAAGGACTCTAAGATGATTAAACATCTAAAAAGTTAAAGAGATATAAACAAATATATATAACGAAGATCACAATTGAAAACAGCAGATCAAAAACCCAAAGATAAAGAATTAAGAACATATAGATTTATGTGAACACGATAAAAAGAAGGGAAAACATCAGCTAAGTCTACTGTTGCCTATAGGTTTGTTGTTTCATATATACGTTTAGTTATGCCTCCTTTTTGTTTAGTTTGTTTGCATTTTTACTTCTTTAGAATAAAGAGACAGATAGTAGACACTTTGAAAAAAAAATGAAACGGAAAAGCAGAAATGATAAAAAGGTGCAAGAAATAAAAAGACTCACGTCGTATGCCTTCATTTTATTTTAATTTTTTTGAATGCAAAAAGTGCTAAATAGAATGCACGGAAATGAAAAAGAAATCAAGAATCTCATGCAAATAACCCTTGACCAAACTGACTGCTAAATTGAATGATCACTTAAACCGAATGACATAACTTCAATTTTCATAGGATGAGTTAAACATGAAAATGTCAGGTCTTTAAACGAATTTGAGCGCCTGAAATCTAATACGAACCACGGGAATGACAGCAGGGCGCTACTCCGCTTCAAATTGGCCACTATCAAGATGAATTCGAATGCTATTTTTGGTAAATTTATATATTTACATATATTTGGTAAATCGTATTTTTTTGTTTAATCTGTGTAAAGTTATTTGGGACGTCAGTGCTGCAGAAGAACTCTTTTATTATTATCATTATTATTACAGGAAATAGTACCTTCAGGAGACATTCCTACAGACTTGTGCACAACAACTCCTAACTTTACTGACCCCTAATCCTCACTTAACCTTAACCTACCCTCATCAAACTTAGACAAGAATTATGTCTCCCTAATTTACCTTGTCTCCCTAACAGTTTTGGGGTTGATCACGAAAGCATGAATAAGCGTCCGCCCAAAATGTTTTTGCATTTTCTTGTCATTTAGCCCTTGTAGATCAATAATCCAGCGGTCGCCACCTTGGCATCCTTGAACATTGGTTTTGAACAATTTATATGCAAATTAACTACCGCGATAAGGTAAAATATATGTTTTCTATATCTATATATATATATAGTCACTTATAATTTCATACGGTGACCGGTTGTGCTTACTTTTGCGGCATTAGGGCGACCACCGTCTTTATGGCGTCATTTTGCCGGTCGTCATAACGCCAGGCATGCAACTGGGAATTTAGGAAAAAACGAGGAAATTCCAAACCACACAAGACTTGTACAGTGTTTTTCCATTTGTAATGGCATTCATGAGGAGTAAAAAAAGAGGAAATCAGCGGATCCGAGGAAAAGTTGCATGCCTGTGAACGCAAAAGTACTAGATAGCCAAAGAATGTTATTGTTGCAAATTGGCTTAATCAATGTCTCTTGGTCCAAAACGTAAAAATACCAAATTTTGTTTGGGTCGGATAAGGTAAAATTGGGATAGGTCATATTAAAGTTTTGTAAATTTTGTACACATGTCTATGGAGCGGTCGGCCCAATATATCTATAAATAGTGCATTAAAGCCACATCTACAATGATTACGTCTATATTTTATGTATATTTTGCAAATTAGCACCCACCATTATAATAAATAATTATTGCATCTATTTTCTCCACAAGAATTTGTCCAATGGTATCAAACAAGGTGTCTAAACCCATGTTTCTAGGGTCACCGAATTCATTAAAGCCATTTCTACCATGATACTGTGTATTTTATGCACAATATGCAAATAAGCATCCACCAATCTCAGAAATAATTATAACATGTGTCTTTTTTCCTACTATATATATACATCATTTATGCATAATATGCAAATTAGTATCCGCTATTAGCAAAAATATTTATTCATATACATGTACAATTATCTTTGAAAAATATCATCCAAACTTATCAACCGAGGTGTCTAGATTCATCTTTTTTTAAGAGTCAATGATGAACCCTGCGTGGTTACAATGAACTGTGCGATGCAATCTTTAATCCTTTGGCTCCCAGGAGAATAAAGTACTCATGAGTCTCCATTACCAGGAGCATTTGGAAACATCATTGTGTAGCACCTCGTACTTCATGCATGGTGGACAGAGCCCATTGCTTGCCCAGCAAATGTAAACAATATGTGAACTTCCAAACCGCCTGCATGTTTATTACCCTTGATGTGTTTACCAAGATTATGCAACCCGACACGCGCAAATACAATCTATGTATTTAGGAACTAGTTCAATGCCCGTGAAACATCTCTTAAAGATTTTTTTCACGGAGAAATGGACTTTTAATGAATTTTTAAGGGATGAAGATGTTCATAGTGGGAAGTGGCGTCGACTTTGGGTGCCAAAAGGAGCTTTTGGCGACAAAAGGAGCCCATGGGAGTGAAAGGGTTAATGATAGGTAATTATTCACATTGTCAAAAAATTGTTCTTCAACTTTATTAAACTGACCATTATGTAGCATTTGCTGGAGAATGTTATAGTTCCCTTGCAGATGTGTCAGCGCACGTCTGTTGTGTTTTAAAACAGAGGGCACATACATGATACAAAAACTCCGTCAAACATATTTCCACAAACATTTCCTCTCAACGTCAATGTTTTCTGAAAATCAAATTTATAAAAAAATAGACAAGATAGAACTGCACTCTGTTCAGCACCTCCCCCTTTCAATCAAAACCACGTGAAAATAACTTACGAGCAAGGGACAGAACGCAATGACGGACAGGTACTGCAAGTACATTTTAAACCAAAAGGCCACACTTTCAATGCATTTATTTTAAACAACGCCAAACTGCACACCCGGGGTGAAGTTTTGACACAAAAGTTCGCGTTATTACCCAAAACTATATTTTTTTTCTAACGAAAACCGTTGTTTTCCTTTGTTTTTGTTTCACTTTTTAAATCTGGCATGATTGGGCTTTCGTACGTAGGTAAACATGTGTGGTGAAGAAATGTTTGTTTTACGGTGTAGGCTAATTGTTTGTCTCCTAATAACAGCTCAAGATATTTAGGATGCACTGTATTTAAAATAATGATTTCAGCTTATCTGAATATTTTTGAATAAAATATGCTACTTTTTTTGGTATGTAGGTAGCTTCTTTAATCAGTGACCTTTAAAATATGGATTTGATTCCACCAGCCTTGAGCAAATTCCTGCGGAGATATATAGAAAGAAGTTAAGTTTCTAGTAATGAAGGATGTAAATTTGCATTATATGCTGAAATTATTTACAGTATCAATGTCCGTATATGCTTTAATGAATTTGATGACCCTAAAAACATGGGGTTAGACACTTTGTTGGATACAATGGAACAACTTCCTGTAGAGATATAGATACAAGTTACATTTCTGATAACGGCGGATGCTTACTTGAATATTATGTATAAAAAACACATTATCGTTTCAAAAATGGTATTACATGTATTGAATTTGATGACCTTACAACATGACCTTGGTCACCTCAGTGGATACAACTGGACAAATTCCTGCGGGAGAAAATATGGACAGATGTGCTATTATTTCTGATGATAGCGAGGGCTTATTTGCATAATATGCAGTTGCATAATATGCATAAAATACAAAATAATTGTAAAAATGACTTTAATGCATTAGTTGACCCTAAAAACATGGGTTTAGACACCTCGTTTGATACGATATGACAAAGTCTTGCTGAGACATAAATTACAGGAAAACTTTAGATAATGGCGGATGCTTATTCGCATATTATGCATACAATACATAAATTAGTTAATGAAAATGGCTTTCGTGAAGTTGTTGACC